TTTCTTTCTTTCTTCCCCCTAAATAATTACTTACCTCCCCCCTCTTTCTTTTCTTTTTTCACTTGCAGCAATGCCGCGGCGGAGGGAGCTAGTTCTGGTTGCAGCTTTTCAAAATAAAAGCCGCTCCTTGGCGACCGTTATTTTTTTAAGCATGACAACAGCTTTAAAAAACGTGACACGGCTTTAATTTCGGTTCACACGAGCAGGTATAATCGCGTTTAATGTTTATACGCGTTTGTGTGGTTTAAAAAAAACCCCCGCCAAAATGGGTTGTTGCATTCGCGTCTGTCACCAACGCGGCCACTATAGTACCGCTTTTATTTTGAAGGTAAACCCAAGCAGCCCGACTGTTACTTCTATTCGCGTTCAGCTTGACGCAGCACTGCTCCTTTATCAGTCAGCGGCGGCTCGATTCCCCCCACCAGGCCGGAACACCTTTCCACTAGCCAGGGCTCTTTCGTCATTCATACGCAAAACTCCCCCAGAGGATGTGTCCACTCCGCCAAGACAGGAACAATGCTGGACAACAACAACAAATAAGTGTGCTTTAATGTTTAATTTGCTAGAAGCTCGGAGCTTAAACAAAAAAGTATTTAAAAAAAAAAAGATATAACTTTATGTCCACTCTCTACATGAGTTATTCAGTGTGTTAAAATTAAAGTCCACCCACGCAAAGGCCGCAGCCACTGCTGAGGTCATGTCTTCAGTGTTTTAATGTGTTTGACAGTGCTGGAAGAAGTATTCAGATCTTAAATAGTGGCAAACTGTTTAAAAATACTCTGCTACAAGTAGACCTTAGTTAAATACCTCCACTGGGATTTGTGTCCCCTGGAGTCACTTATTTTACATTATCTCTTTTTAAAGCTCTCAGAGGTCTTTACATGTGTCTGGTTGTTTGATTATACTTTACATGTATTCAAACTGACATATTACTATGAAATAAGGAAGAATATGACACATTTGACTGTTTTTAATCCAATAAATGAAACAGAAAACTCACATTAGTACAAATAAAGTAAGTAAATATTAGTTATATAGTACCTTGTTAGATCAGCCGCCCCAGTGCTTCCCAATAAAAGAAAAAATAAAGAACATTTTCTGTTTTATGTAAAAATCTATATACATATCAGCAACACATATTGTATATGATGTGTTTTTAATGAATCAGACTTTATTTTAACTCAACATACTGAAATTTGACTTTTTGTGGCAAAAAGTTTGCAAAATCACATTATATCTTATAGTGAATAAGGCAAATAAACTGGGAGCTGTAAGGAAACATTCATTATCACTTGATCTCCTCAGGGATCCTGACTTAAAATCTAGTTTTAAAGACATTATTATTTCAGTGTATACTACTGTACTCAATCTAATTGGTGGGACTAATGTGGGGCTCACATTAGTCCAAACACTGAAATACAACCTAAACATGAACACATCTACAACAATACAACAATGTAATATATAATATAACACCATAACAAGGGATATTGTGCATTATGAGTACTTTTACCTACTCAATGCATGCTTGTTACTTGTAATGGAGTATTTTTTTTACTACTAATTTTAGTTCAATCAAACACCCGAGTGCTTCCTCTATCACTGGTTTTAACGTTGCTCATTTAAAAACTGCGTCGTTCAGGCAACCGCACTACTTTATTGTACCACCAGCCTGTGGAATGTGCGGAGGGACACGGCGGAGCGAGGCGACTGGTTGAATTTTTTCGGCGTGTCTGAGTTCTCCAAGGAGGATACAGGGTAAACATCCCGCTACTATTTCGGGACTGGCCCGGTATTAGTCAGTCCTGATTCCGGCTGTTAGTGGCAGTTAACGGACACACCAAAAAAAAAAAAAAAAAACACTGCAGGCCCTGATAAAGTACTTCTCTGTTTGGATAGGCTTGTCGGGCTCTTTATCTGCCCCGGAGCACCCAACATATGGGAGCCTTTCATGGCCCCTGCGGTTCACCGGAGTCCCTGCAGCAGCCTCTGCACAGACTGCAGCCTTTACCTCAGGCTGCGAGTGGGAACTTGTCTGCAAAGCTAACAGAGAAATTCTTCTAGGCTTAGTGGCGGAGCAGTTCATACAAAAACAATACTTTGAAGAGCTGCGGGAACTGTGTGTGTGTGTGTGTGTGTGTATTTCTGTTCCAGCCTAATACACTCATGCAGATAATACTTCCAGATAGACACATCAAGTCCTCTCGCCGTCTGTATTTTCCCTCCTGAGTGGGTATTTGTGTAATTATTTCCTCAAAGGGCAGACATAAACACAATTATCATCTGTTTAATTCTCCTGGAGGAATGAGATGTTTGTTGTTTGGAGTAACTTCACATAAAGGGACTTCCAGTTGGTTGGACTCGTGAGAAATAGGTTTTAAAAGTCCAAAGTTTGGGTCAAGCTGCATCGTAGCCTCACTGTAATGCAACTTGATAGCGTCAGTCATTAGACCAGAGGCTCCAAAGGCCCTAATATAAATCTGAGAGGTCACAAGGTGTTTGAGGATTGTCTTTCTCCACAACTTTTCTCATATTTTGCTATTATTCTTCTAGTTTTTTAGACATTGTGACTTCTTCAGACTCTAGAAATTGACAATCTGAGGAAGAAAAACACATTCTTAGGGTGAATCATTCACATATAACCAGTGAAGAGGAGTCACATTGCTTTACCCTCCAGTCTCAAGCTGAATTAACCCTGATAACATTACTATGGTCATCCAGAGACTACCGGAGACATTATATATCTGACGTTGACACGTAAAATCAGTGCAGTGCTCCTTTAATGTTGTAATAACATACAGGTAAACTACAGTGTGCGTTATATCAAAATTAAACAAATGCAACATATATACAATATAAGAAAGTGCAACAGCAATGAAGAGAAAGCTAGAAACATCCACTCCACAGACACGCAACACGCTATTTATAACCCTGAAAAAACAGAGAGCGTGGGGCCAAAGTAACTAAAGTCAGCACTCTTACTGAATCTGGATCTCAAGGGCAGAAAA